GGGTAAGATACACTTTAAAAAAAATCAAAGTTTAATAGTACACAAAGGGATTGCAAAAATGACACAATCCTTTCTTTTTGATATAGTTTGTTTACCTTTTGTACACTTAGCTGCATGTCAATCACTGAAGAAGTGAACTATAACATTTTAGATGTAAGGTTTTCTTACATCAGTACATACACAACTTGTGAAAATTTTGCCAATAATAAAGATGTCCACACTGAAGTTGGAGGGAAAAAGATTTACTGGAAGCCTTCTTTGGAAATACAGTATAACATACTGGAATGCTAACGAGTCGATTGAAAATATAACCTATATGAGTAATTTATTCATAACAAATTTTCTTAAGTCAGCATAAGTTGTCTAAAATGGTAGTGTGACAGGGCCTTTAGGTCAGTAGCTTGTTTGAATCCTAGCTTCAGTATTTTATTACGTTAAACAGACTAGCAGAAATTGTCTGTCAGAATTGTATTGCTTCGCTCTCCGAATGGAGGATCCATCTGCACCTAAACCAGCTGATTCAGCAATCTTTTGGTGGGGTCAGCGTGAAGCCATGATGATTGGGAGAAAGCCGAGGCATGCAGAAACACTGGACCTTACATAACTAAGCTGGTGTTTGTTGTGACGCTTGTATAAGTGTTCCCAATAGTTTGTAGCAACCACCATGAGCTTGCCGTGTCATGCTGGCAACAAGGCCGAACCAGTGAAGGTGCTGGGTTTGCCATGGTTTTGTGAGAGATTTTTTTAAGCTTTTGAATCCTCTGTTGTGCTATTTATATTTACATCATGTTTCTCCTCACTCTAGTTTATTGTGTGTGCAAGAATGTAAAGAGCAGCAGAGAGAAAAACCTGCTCTTTCCAGGCTTCAGCTTTGCTTGGGTACACTTATCCAAATCTGAATAGCAGAACATGGAGTGCAGCAGGTTGTTCTTTCTGTGTCTCACTAAAATACAAGAGGTTCTTTACAGAAAGAAGCAGTAAGGTTCATTAACTGATTAAGGTTTTTGGCGACATTGGGGTTTTTTTTTTTTTTTTTTTTTTTTTGGAATAGTAAATGTTTTTCGTTATTTAGTCTGAAACATTTGTGCAACACTGTTGATGGTTGAACTTATACAAGGTTGTCTGAAGATGACGGTTGGGACAGATGTTCAGAAGAGATGATAGCAGAGGCTTGACTTTAGAGTGTAAAAGAGGTTAAAAAATGAAGAACTGATTCAGTGAGTTGGAGTATAAAAGATGAACAATAAGGATGGGGGAGGGGTGTGTGGAGTGGTGACTGAGTGAGAGTAAGTGTACACAATAGGTTGGCTCTTGGCCACGCATTCCCCTCTCCCCCCTCCCCCCCACACACTGTCACCCTTTCCAGAGTCTCCTGCGGACCTCCACCCTGCTCCGCTTGTGACTCTGGTGTCGGCAGCTGGGCGGGAGGGGAGAGCCGAGGCCCAGGCTGTGCTGATCCGGCTAGGCCACAGGCCTCGCCACAGAGGTAGAGGAGGGTGAGGCCTCGTTTGGATGATAAACTGGGTCTGACGTGAAGCCCTGAAGCTTCTTTCTTGACGGCGGCTAAATGGTTATGTAACTTGATTGAACGTATGCATGCACTACTTTGTGGTTTGACACAGATCTTTTATRCTGTGGCTTCACAGCCCCCAGTGTGCTCTGTCCTCAGCTATGTTTCCTCAACACYCAGAGTTCGCAGACTTTACGGGATGTCCACTGTGATAGAGGCCATTGTGCTGCGATATTCCTGTGGCCATCCCCTGCTACTACTACTTCACCAGTTTTCAGATTGTGGTTGTAGTTGCAGCTCGTCACCTTCGATCTTCTTAYCTGTCGTGAAATGTCTGTTGACAGTGTATCAAAAGTATTCAGCCTTAAATTCCAAAGTTAGCATTAGTGTAGTTATTCATGTTTAGATTTTATTTTTGAGGTGTTTCATGTTGAGAAAGCAAGTGGTTTGTTGATGTTACCGTTTTACTGGTGATAATGGGTTGTTAGACTCTTTCCTGACGCCATTACCTCATTATTGATCTCTTGGTTCCTGCCTTCTTGTTGGTGTCACAGCACTCTTATCCACAACAAGAGTGACTGAATCATTATTATATGCTGCCTTCTACTGGATGAAAGATAAAACTACAAGTTAAATGTCTCCTTACTGTTATAGACCAGTAGATTACCGAATGCTGATCATCTTTTTTTTTCCCTCAGTGAAATTAAGAAAGAGCAGCAGCCACCTTCACCAGATGATGTGATTGTGCTATCTGACAATGAGCCCTCCAGCCCCCTCATGAATGGCCACTGCTTCACCAAGACGGATACCAACAAACTCATGGTAGGAAAACTGAATTTCAGCATTCTGTGCAACAGTTTTACACTTATTTCTGTCACTTTCGAAGAAACATATGCAAAATCCACAGTTTTTGCTGTCAAATGCATTTTCTTGTAAACTTAAGAGTTTCTAGAAATGCGGAAAATTTAGTCTCTCCCAGTGCTGCCCCTCTTMCCTTGTTGACATCTTTTAAGTCATTTGTAAATAAAAAGTTACTGCGTTGCTATATTGTCGTAAACCCCTATATCAAACTAGAGTGGACTGGTCTGGAAACTGAAGGGGGGTGGGATGGAACACTTCTTGTTTGGATTTAAAGAGACAGCCTGATCTGAGACATACCTCAGAAAAGGGGTGAAAGAGGGGCTTGTGGAGTTACAATAAGGAGGAATTCAAACCAAAGCATTGCAGTTCCACCTTATATACACCCCAACTGAAAGATTTAAATGTGAAAAGGATTTAAAAGCACAATACGTATGTCTACTTTATTTCAACACTTTCTGAATACCGTAAATGCAATAGAAATTGTATGCCTGAACTTCATATATTTAATGTTGAAKTTGATAGTTCAGAATTCCCTTGTTCTTTTAACCTACTTGAAGTTGAGCCTTTAATTGTATTGTGTTTGTCTGTTGCTTATTGTTTTTTTGTAATAATACAACCGATCCCAGGCCGGTATGGATGTGTGTCTCTATACTAACTTGGCCTTTTTTTCTTCTATCTGCAGAATAGTTCGCCTGAGGAAAGGGAGCGCATCATAAAACAGCTGAAGGAAGAACTTAGACTCCAAGAGGCCAAACTTGTCCTCCTTAAAAAACTACGACAAAGTCAGATCCAGAAAGAGAGCACTGCCCAGAAGGTACAAAATAAATCTTCAGTGAATAAAAAAGTTAGGCTTCCTTTTGTATTGCAAGCATAACTAGATACCGCATAGCGGTAACATAATGACCCCCGCACGCACAAATACACCAGAACTCAGAAATCTTTATTCCTAATAAATGTTGTGCTACTAGGTGCATCCCAAAATTGTACTGGTTTGGGTGGGGGTCTTTTTTGGGGGGGTTGTTGACCTGATGGATAGCCCTTCATCAGAGCTAAACAACCAACAAAAATCTGAAGCTTCTATGTTTACCGGTAATAGTTTTTGAGCTATAACCATTTTTGTATGTCCAGATACCCCATTTTCAGATTAACTGGGCACTGATTGGTGGATCTGATGGATAGAGATTCATCAGAGCTAAACAACAAAAGAAATCTGAAGTTTCTATGTTGAACAGTTTCTGAGTTATAAGCATTTTTGCATGTCCAGACACCCCCGCTTTGGATGGAGCCCCCTCCGTAAATATGGGGTCTATCGGTCTGGCACAGTGTAGGTTAGACTCATCTACAGTCCTGCCAAATTTCATGTTGATTGGTGCAGCCGTTTTTGTGCTACGGTTGACCAAAAATCACTTCATATTTTCAAAGCTCTCAGCAGAGCTGAAATTAAGTCTGGGAAGAAGAGAGGTTTGACCCCAAGTGGTCAAAGGTCAACCAGTGGTGAGATGAGGGGTTTCTCTACATTATCCATTGGCATATACTAAATGTAATTTTAAATTAATCTAGATTTTTGTGTGAATGTTGACAAGTAATATTTTATTTCATTTAATTACCTTGTATTTGCAAGCTCGTTCTTTTGGTCACTATCCAAAGTTTGTGGCCATAGGTGAGGGTAGGAACGTAGACCGGTCGGCAAACAGAGCTTCACCTTACAGCTCAGCTCCCTTTGAACCACAGTGGCACAGATTATGCAATACTGTGGAAGCTGCACCGATCTGCATGTAAATGTCACGCTCCATTCTTCCYTCGTGAACAAAACCCAGAGATACTTAAACTCCTTTATTTGAGACAGAACCTCTATTTTCTAATAGAGAGCACAATCCATCCTTTTCTGGCCTAAGACTTAGAAGTGTGTTGGGAGCAACAGCCCACTGATACCCTCAACTGCCTCTGGAGTCCTACCAGCTAATGAGGCTTGATAATCTCCTTCAGATGATAATCTCCTTCATCTGGGACGTCCACAACCGAGTTTGAGGATGGCCACCACAAGAGTTGACAACCTTGTGGTCACAGTTCATAATAGCTACCTCAACAATGGAAGCGGGGAACATGGCCTGCTTGGACTCCATGTTCTCCTGCCTCCAATGGGACATGGTTAAAGCTCTGACAGAGGTGGGAGTTGAAGATCTTACTGACAGGTTCTTCTGTTGCATGTTTCCAGCAAATCCCCCTCCACCATAAAGTGGTTTAAGCAACCATAGGACCAAATTGCTGTACAGTTACAGTCAAACACAACAGCAGTCACAATACATAATAAAAGACTGTAAAGAAAATTAAACAGCCTTATAAATAAAACAACACACACACACACACACACACACACACAACAAAGATCAGCAGCTCAGATGGTGCCAAAAGCCAAGGAGAAGAGATTCAGAAACCTGCCTGGTGCCCAAAGGCTGTGCTCAGGATCAGGTGGTCTGCTGATCTGAGAGAACAGGAGAAGATGTAGGGATGTAACAGCTTTGTTAGGTAGGGAGGAGCAAGACCATTTAATTAAAAAAAAAACAATAAAAGAATTCTAAAATTAATCATGAAATGTACAGACAGACAGTGCAGTGAGGCTAACGCAAGGGAAACATGCTCATGTCTTTTATTTATTTATTTAATTATTTATTTATTTATTTGTGCCAGTTAAGTCATGTGGCAGCATTTTTGGACACCTCCGGGGTTGAGCAACAGATGAAGCACTGACCCCTATATAAAGTCCATTACAATCATCTGACAGTATGGTGAAGGAGTGAATTACTGCCTCAAAGTTCTTTCTAGAAAGAATTTGCCGGACTTTAGCCAGTTAAATGAGAAAAAGCTTGATTGAACCACTGCTTTGATCTAATGATCCAATCCAAGATCACTATCCACTTTGACCCGCCCAGGTTTGTGATGATGGGCTTAGTAAAATGAGCCAAGGCCTGTAGATCCACAAGTGGAGTTACCAAAAAACATAACCTCAGTCTTCTTCTGATTCAAATACAAGAAATTTAAAGCCTCAAGACATTTTAGTTCAGGGAAAATAAGTCTGKTTTTTTTTAAGGGAGACATAAACCTGATAATCATCTGCATAGAAGTGAAAAGAAACTCTGGGATGTTGTTGTTTTTTCTTTACTACGTACAGTAATTGATGCACAAACTTAGACATTGTCCTATTTGTTTAATGTCCAGCCGACTGGCTCTGTGGCTACTCCTCCCCCTCTGGTGAGAGGTACCATAACATCGAATAAAGGACCTCTTCAGGTAACGACTCATCAAACTGTTTCATGCACTTACAAGTTGTATTGATGTGTCACAACACAGGCAGGGTGAGTTCCATTCGCTTTGTTCAATAATAATAAAAAAACGTGTCAACAGGTGACAGGTCGTAGCTCCGGCACGGTGATTCCCCCACCATTGGTACGGGGTGGGCAACACGTCCCGTCCAAACATAACTCTCAGATTGTTATGCCTCCTCTAGTCAGAGGAGCTCAGGTTAGTGTTTTTAACATTTTTTTATTTAACAAATGCCCTTTATTTTATAAACCTAAACATATAGTAGATTTTGGTAATCCATATATTTTTTGTGTGTACATTTGCACCCATCAGCCTATTGCAGTGACTCCCCAGCAGATAGTGAGCCTACGTCAGCATCAGCAGCACAGCGGGTCGGGTCCTCCTCCACTGTTGCTGGCTCCCAGGGCTTCAGTCCCCCAGGTCCAGGGCCAGAGGATCATTCAGCAGGGGCTCATTCGTGTGGCTAATGTGAGCAATAGTAATGTCATGGTCAACATCCCTCAGGTTAGGACAACAAGTAGAAGGATTTCCTTTCTGGAAAACTTCTATGCTTTGTTGTATTTCCTGAATGTGAACCTCACACGTTGCTTCGTATTTGTGTGTTTTTTCAGGCTTCTTCATCAAGCGTAAAAGGCTCTTCAGTCTCACCCAACTCCAGTGTCAACGATTCTCCAGCCAGCAGGCAGGCGGCTGCCAAACTAGCACTGCGTAAACAGTTGGAGAAGACGCTTTTGGAGATTCCTCCACCCAAACCTCCTGCGCCTGAGTTCAACTTCCTGCCTTCTGCGGCTAATAATGAATTCATCTACTTGTTGGGGTTGGAAGAGGTGGTGCAAAAACTTTTGGATATGCATGGCAGAGGTTAGTCCATGTTTGGGTTTTTGCAACTGGTTTGGGTATAATGGGTTTAGGAACTACCTGAATGGCAGACCATTTTAAAGGGATCCTTGATTAGTTGTAACATTAGACTTTATTTAATAAACATATATTTTAACTGTAAAATAAAGACTGTAAAAATACTGTAGGATTTTCAGTTTTTATCATTTTTAAACTAAAAGTTTAAAAATATATTACATGGACAGGGCCATTTTATTTACACGCAAAGCATTCTGGGTAAATGATGTGGATAGGTCCTCGGTGTGAGGCTGCTAGTGAGCTATATCCACCCTGAAGGTTAATCTTGGACAATATCTGATGATCGACTCTTTTAAATGAAACCAGAGAGTGTTGACAGAGAGGAGAAGGTAGAAATGACTCAGCCTGTAACTGAAAATATAGATGGAGGACAACAGAGCTGCTTCATGGAAGAAGAACCTCAGCTTAGCCTGTTAGCTTTAACATTAGCCCCGTCGCTATCACCATATATATGAATTAGCTCAGTGCTACACATTCTCCTCTCGTGACTGAGGCCCGCCATCCACATGACAGAGAGGGGAACACAAAAATGACTCAGTCTGCAACTGAAAATATGGATGGAGGACCTCAGTTTAGCTTGTTTGTCACGCTAGCACCGAGCTAATACATATAAGGCAATATAGCGTGAGGGCTAGCGCAAAGGCTAACAGGCTAAGCTGAGGTTCTTCTTCCATGAAGCAGCTCTGTTGTCCTCCATCCATATTTTCAGTTACAGKCTGAGTCATTTCTACCTTCTCCTCTCTGTCARCGCTCTCTGGTTTCATTTAAGAGTCGATCATCAGATATTGTCCAAGATTAACCTTCAGGGTGGATATAGCTCACTCACACTGAGGACCTATCCACATCATTATTTACCCAGAATGCTTTGCTTGTAAATAAAATGGCTCCGTCCGTGTTAAGATATATTTTTAAAATTTACAAAACTAAACATCCTACAGTATTTTTACAGTCTTTATTTTATAGTTAAAATAAATGTTTATGAAATAAAGTCTAATATTACAACTAATCAAGGATCCCTTTAACATAATGATGTCATTTAAATCGTATATCTTTAATTGGAGTTATGACTAGTCAGGACAAAAAGCGAAACATTTTGAAAGCAAGTAATGAGTTTGCAAAACTAACTCAGATATTTTGAACTATTTTTGACTCACAAGTTCCTTTTAAGATATTTTGAATTGGAGCCTCCATACAACTTAATGGTAAATCTGTCATTTATACAAGTCAGAATGTAATTAGAAATATCTCAAATAGGTATTTTGTTTAGTCAATATATAAATGGAGTTATCTTAATTAACTAATATGTCTAGTCATGAACCAATTTCAGATATCTGGAATATAAATGTGGTGTTATGTTAAAAAGGCCTGCCATACTAATGGCAGGCTGTAAGAGTATAAAACTGATTTTATGATGTCATCTTTAATGTAGGTAATTTAGGTCCAGCTGCTTCCATGGCCAGCTCTTTTGCCAAAGAGCCATTCACCTGTGCCCAATGCAAGACAGACTTTACCTCCCGCTGGAGAAAGGAGAAAGCTGGCACCATCCTCTGTGACCAGTGCATGTCGTCCAATCAGAAAAAGGCCCTGAAGGCTGAGCACACCAGCCGTCTCAAGGCAGCCTTTGTCAAGGCTCTCCAACAAGAGCAGGAGATCGAGCAGCGTATCCTCCAGCAGGCGGCCACCTCCTCCTCCTCTTCCTCCTCCTCCTCTGGTTCTAAAACCACCTCGTCCTCCTCTCCCTCGCTGTCCAAAAGTGATGCTTTGGTGTCTCAGCAGTATAAGCAGGTCAGAGCCGACCTGCAGCACAGATCTTTGGCTGCACACCACTCCACCATTAAACAGGTTAGTAAAACAAAAAAAAAAGCCATTATATTGGGGTTGCTGTTATCATTTAAAAGCATGTTCTCCTACATTACGTTCAGCATCATCTCAGTGTTGATTCCTGCACCAACAATTCTTCTGCTTTGCGTCTGTGTACAGAGTCAGCTGTCTCACAGCATCCAGAGCTCTCGTGGCATAGCCCACTCCTTTACCTCCTCTCAGCTGCAGAATGCAGCAACAGCAGCTGCRTTAGGCAGCAGATCAGGGAAGCACGCTGCAGCTCTTGCTCTGCAGCACGGGACAAAGGTCGGTGCAGGCAGCAGTAACCAGGGCAACATGGCAGCCTGGAGGAAACAGAGTGGTGGAAATACAGGTAATCAAACACCAGACATGGTTATGCCAAAAATAAATTTTAATATTTCAAACTTAATGCTCTCCTTCAGGCTAATTTCCCAGTTTTTATTTATTTATTTATTTATTTATTTTTGTGGAATTATCTTCTTAACTCTCAGTTCTGTCTTTTTATTTGGCTTTTTGGCAGTTTTTATGTGTGTGTTTAGCAGGGATGTCCTGATACCAGTTTTTCTCAAACTGAGTACAAGTACTTCAGTTTGGGTACTCGCCAATACCGAATACTTACAGAGTTACAACTGAAATATTACACTATGATTATAAAAGTGTTTCTTTTATTTAGAACCTGTTATTAAATCAGCTACATATCTGATGTTTGTCAAAGCGACTGCAGTCTGAACAGTCATGTTACATTTCATCTGATCTTTACATCTGTGAGGTGGGGGTATACAGATCGATCCAAGTAATGATACTATCTTTGAATCATACTTTTTAAATCTTTGCACATCTTAAGCTACAGAACAGAAGTCCAGTTGCTTTGTATTTTTTATTTAAATTTTCCATTTCCTAGCTGATTGTGAATCCACAGAAATATATGATAACGTTGTCAGATCGTATTGATACTGATGCTAGGTTCAGACCGAGCCTGAGCATCAAGTTTACATGCAAAGTCTATGGTGGACATGCATCTAGGGGCGTCGAGAAGCCTCGTGGCAAATATAGCGCGATTAGCGAGACCCGTTTTGAAGCGGTAGGTTTTGTTTGAGTGTTTGACACAAATCATAAAGTTACTGGTTCCACACTTTAGTTAGTTTTACTCACAGCACGTCACTTTGTTCCATAAATACACGCTGCACCGGAGCAGCTGACCAGAGGACGGGTCAAATGTAAACAGTGAACTAAACAAGCGTGACAAATTCAGAATCAACATGCTAACATGTAGCATCCACAGACAGACCTGTTTACTTCTGTAAACAGAGCGCTGAATGTGACGTCATGTCTTCTTCTGTGCGTGCAGGTCAGCATAAAGTGTTCACACTGGAGTCTGATGGAGGTTGCATACCCGATACCAGCATTGATATCAGGACACCACTTGTGTTTATGAAAACAACCCCAATTCCAATGTAGCTGGGGTGATGTGTAAAGCTTAAATAAAATAATTTTAAAAATATTTTGCAAAAAACACAGATAATCATGATAACTCAGTTATATTTACAACTTTTACACCTCTGCAACTCTTTAAGACTCTGTTATCAGTTTTACAATATAGTATAAGGATACACATTACACAAGACTTAAGGCTGGTTTAGGCCTATACCTCTACAAGACGCGAGACAGCGGATCAGTGATTACATCATGTGGACGTTGTTTTCTCACTGAGTGTTTATACCCTCTTAGAAGCCTCAGGAGATAAGTCATCATAATCCCTCCTACAGCACTCCCAATGTACAATACAACCCTAGTTCCAATGATGTTAGGATGTTGAGTAAAACAGAAACGTCCTTTTCAACCTGTATTCAGCTGAATATACTACAAACAGATCAGATGGATATACTTTTTATTTATTTATTTTTATTTTATTTATTTATATTTTTTGCAAAATTACTAATTTTGAATTTAATTCCTTCAGCATATACCAAAAACTCTGGGACAGGGGCAACAAAAGACTGGGAAAGTTGAGGAATGCTCAAAAACACCTGTTTAAAGCATTCCACAGGTCAATGGTGAACAGATTAGGTATAAAGGCAGCATCATTGAAAGGCTCAGTCCTACACAAGCAAGGATGGGGTGAGGTTCACCACTTTGTGAACAACTGCTTGAGCAACTAGTCCAACAGTTTAAGAACAGTCTTTCTCAATGTGCAWTTGTAAGGAATTTAGGGATTTCATCGTATACAACTGACAAAAAAAATCTATTTGTAAATTGAAAGTTTTTATTAGTTGTGACTGTAGTGTGCAATAAACTTTGACACTGTGTTTGTGTTGCGACAGGAGTGACTATGGCCTATGTGAACCCCAGCTTGTCGGCTCACAAGACCACTTCCGCTGTGGAGCGTCAGCGGGAATATCTGCTGGACATGATTCCCTCCCGTTCTATCTCCCAAGCTGCAAACACATGGAAATAATGCAATCTTACTACTTACTGACACCACAACTCTTAGCTTTCTTAATATCAGAAACAGCCATTCTCATTAWCATTCAGATCTTTTCTATGCTCTGAAACTCTGCCTCTGTCCCAGATGGCCATGGGGCAGGAGGAGGTTTTTGTTTTAGACATCTTCATCCCCAACCATTTCAATTTATTAAAAATTTTTTTTTTTTTTTTAATTTGTTTTTTTTTTCCCCCCCCCCCCCCCCCAATATCATCTTTTTATGCCACCAGTTTCCTCATTTGAACCTTTTTCCAACTGAAGTCGTGCTACAGCAGCTTCGTGGATGATACGCTGAATAAGTTTTGGGTATCTTTTCCGAGGACTTATCTTTAGTTTGTGTGATTCCCTTCCAGTTGCACCAGTGAAGCTGCCACACAAATCCCCAAGCTCTCCCTTCTCCTGAAATAGGCAGGAATAAAAACTGATCTCTCTAGAATAAGATATTGGTCTCACGTCCTGCCCTCTCCAGTCTGAGCCACTCAGACCCAGGCCTGCCTGCTGGCCTAACCGAACTTTGTGGAGGACCTCAGCCCAAGAATCGTTAAGTTTCCAGGGACATCCACACAATATAAACTGCTTCAGCTTTGCAAAAATTAATGACATAAAAAAAGGACTGTAAAAAAATATCTCTTATCTGCACACAGACTGCCTCTCCTCAGCAACCTTCAGTGTGGATACCAGAGACRTTGGTGTGTGTTGGATTATTTTGTATGGCTGAATGTTAGGATTTTGTCTTCTCTTCCTTTAAGTCACATACTGTGTTTGGACTGTTGTGCTCCCTGACACTTTGGAAGTGGCCTCTTGTCGAGGTCTGAATTTAAAGGCTAATGTTACTGTTAGGTGGTTTTACATCTGCTGGGTTCCATGTTGTGGCCTACTTTTAAATACTTTGCTTAAGATGAAAGGAAGAATAAAGATTAAGGTTTTACAGACTTGTGTAAAAAAACATGGAGCGTATGTTTGGAGGACTATTCTTATTGAATATTGTTTAAAAATAAATAAAAAATACACCTTCCAAAGATCTAGTTGGAGCCCAAATGTAATCCCTTCTGCTAGAAGGTTTCTAGGTTGTTGTTTTTTTTTGTTTTTTTTGGAACCTTTTATGGATATAAACATGATTTCATGCTAAACTAAGTGGGTGTAAGGATTGTCAAGTTATTAAGTTTTTTATTTGCCTTTTTTTTTTGCTTTTAGTCATAGGTTGTGGTGCATTTTCTTTCTTCTATAGATAAGCTGAATTTATTTATAGGGTTAGGCCCTATGTTTGAATGGATAATAGTCAAATTATTATTTTTTTTATGTGTCAAGTGGCTCTCACGCAACCTTCAGCTGATCTGAGTGAAGCTGGACAGCTTTCAGAATGTAGTTATGCAAAACGAGCAGAAAAGCCCCGAAGCAACAAASGACATGAACTTTGTAGTCTCTGTGGTGTGGCTGATGTCTGTCTGATCATTCAGTCCAGCTGGGTCCGCCCTTCACATCAGCTGTGCTGCRTTTTCTATGAAACTACGGCGTCTCGCACTAAACCGCAGAACTGTCCCTCGTTAGATTTACACAAGCAGTTATTTATCAGTTTTCTTCTKTTTCAGTCCCTGAGGCCAATCCAGCTATGTTGTACCTTTCAGCAAATGGCTTTACATGTCCTTTTTTTAATGTGTCACCAAGTCAAAGATACCAAAAAATATTAGTGTTTATTCTTTTTTTGTTTGTGCTGTTTCACAAGTTATATTTTTAAAAACCAATCCTCGCAAATCGATTACTTGTTCCTGCGCTCGTAATAATCATCGCATTATAAAGTCCACGTCTTGCTGCTCGATCACCTCACTTCAGATTTCGGCGCCCTTGATGTGATGTCAGATTTTAATTGATTCCTTCCTAAGACTCGCTGATTTAAAAAAAAAAGTCAGTAATTAAAGGTGATGCAGTTGGAAGTTTTATCCCTCGTGCTGGGGTCACTTGACACTCGGGGTGGGGGTGGGGGGTGTTGATACAGATCACTGCGTTAGTATGCAAGTTGCTGATGGAAAGTCCAAGTTTGATCGCTTGTCAATTCCAGATTGTCTGAACATTCCTGACGAGCAAAATGTAGCAGCCCCACACGTCTTACRGAGGTGAAGGGAAAAAAGAAAAAGCAATCTGGAATGAGCCGATCATGTTGTGCCCTGCTAATTGTAACCCTGTGCCGTTCTGACTACTTCCTGCTGCTGCTGCTGTTTGGCTAGATTGACACCATTTTTTTTTTTTGGCAGGGGGTGGGGGGGTAGATGCACTGCCTGATGCAGTGCAAAAATAAAGGACAACAATGTAAAACAATTGTTTTGTTTTGTTTTTGTTGGGGGGGTTATTTTCTGCTCTATCAAACAATAAAACTAATTTTAACTCATCTGAATGGTTCACTTGTCTGTTTGTCCGCTGTCCATAAAACACTACAAGTTTTTAAATGACCGTGCGACACGTTTATGCCCCACTGTTACTTTTACAGATCGGAGCTTCATCCTTTTCCACTCTGCAATTCAGCTTATATACTGTTTCACTTTGTACACATCTACTGACTTCAAACATGTTTTCATTCACGTATCACCTGTGATGGAGACGTATGAGACCATGCTCTGCTATGTGATCCAGTTGCTTGCAGAAGACTCTACATGGCAGCAGAGTGCAAATATCTGTAGGTTACAGCTTCTTAAGACTTAGTATGGTCTTACCTTGGATCTGTCATGACTTTTGCTGTGTGTGCATGTTTCTAACACTAGTGAGAACCATTTTCTTCTGTACCTTTTTCGCCACGTATCTCGTTCCGCAATACTTGTGCTATTTCAACAATTCATATTTGAAAGCTTTCAGGTCATTCCGGCTGTGACTTTTGGTATTTCAGCAATTTATACTTTTTTTAAATTAAGCCATTTTGGCCATTTTTGTTCTCACTGAAAACGAACTGAGCTTTATTCAACATCTGTAAAACCTTTTAAAATGTTTATAAACTTTTACAGCACTTTTCACCCTTTTGATCTGGTTCTGCTTTTAAAAAAGTGCTACTTTTAGCTTATTTTTGTTGCTAATTTTAGCTTTTTTCTGCCTTTTCAGCTATCTTTGTGCATTTCAGCTATTCTGTTGATTTAAACTTTTTGTAACTTCTATCAGCTTTCTGCTCATTTAAGCTTTTTCCACTTTTTTCTGCAATTTAAGCTACTTGTAAGCTATTCAGCTACTTTTAGCTTTTTTCGGCTTAATTCACCTTGTGATCATTTCAGCTTCCTACTGCTTGATTCAGTCAATGTGCTCTTTCTGCTTCTGTGTACTAGATTCAACTCTTTCAGATATGTTTTTTTTAGCTACTTTTCTGCTAATTTCAGCTTTTTTGGCTGTTTTACAACAAATTCCAAAATTTTATCCATTTATTAATTTTTTATAATTTTTTTATTTTTTGCAAAAATATCAGCATAAATC